TTCTAATTGTAACTTAGTCAGAAAAATTGAAAATCGTAAAAACTTTTTTTCATTGTATCAAGGAGTAAAAACGTTCGAGCATAATTTGCCTTACTTCAGATCATATTTCTTGCACTGCGACTATGGCACATGTGCACGTCATAAGTCGATGCAGAAATGGTATACTGTGCAGTCTTCGTGCTTGCAAATATTGGATTTTAGGCGTCTGTTTGGTAAATATTGGGCTCATTACTTGCTTATTGTGCAACATTTGTAAATTTGGTCATTCAAACACAAGCCAAACATAAAAAGGAAATGCACCAAAAATGCAGAGTAAAGTGGAAAACGTTAATCTGCAATAAAGCTTTTACAACTACTGTTTTGTGAAAACATGTACATACATTAACCAAGAAGACTGTAGTTTGTCTTTGTGGTTGTACTGTGCCTGGAGTAGATGACCTTATCAAGAACCAGCTGATGTCATAGAGTCAGCTCAGCATTCTGAAATCTGAGCTTTTTGTTTACTCTTAATTACCTACTCATATAAAATTTTACCACAATAAATGTTAACATCTGACATTGTAACATATCTGACAGAAAATAGGGTACAGTACAACATGTCCTAGAACTGCAGCAATTTATCTGCATAATGGCTGACGGCTACACAGATAACATATCCATTTCAGGCTTTTTGTATGATGCATGATTGTATTTTTTAACTTTAATTCATAATAAACATTTTTCTTCAGTATCACTACATAGCTGTATAACTATGTCTGTAGTTTTGGTCCCACTCATTGGCTGGCTGCACTCAGCTCTTCAGTTTTAGACAACGGGGGTGCTGCAAAGTCTGCTCGGTTCAATTAAAAGATTTACAAGACCCAAGTCTTCAAAACAACAAGAGTACTTGAAATGATCACAAAGCAAATAGAAGGTGTATATATGGTGCAGACTTTCAATGGCATACCACAGTAGCACTCACATAATGCACAAGAGCCTAAAGAAAAAACTCACAGATGTCGTTTGCCATGGAGGCACTTTATATCTGTTTGCTTCTCTCTAACTGTGTGTTCACATAAAGTGTACGACAACTGAATTCCAAATGAAGCCATTTCCACTTATTATTTTTCTGTTACTGTTATCAGAAAATGGAACAAGTATGAAGTAGTGACTGAAACCTGGCTTGACCAACATGTTCACCAAGCTGCTGCTCTGCACAATATCCTGATTTTACCGCCATGATGTTGTCTGACAAACTCACCACAAACATAAGTAAAAGACAACTGCTGTGCTGTAAATTTGCTGAAATTTCCATACAATACAAAACTATTGCCAAAGGCAGAAGACAACTACACAATAGGAAGAGAAGGAGTTGCTGTAGCTAGTTTATGGTTGTAAAATATCCACCATGTCCATGCTGTGCTTGTTTAATATAAAAACCAAGCTTCTTTACTTTAAGTAGCTTGATAGAAACTTGGACCTCTTTAGGGGTTGTACGTCTGATTTATATAAAAAGCCATGTTTTAAAACATAGGTTTACTATTCCTGAGTTGCAAGAGTAATCCGATAGTTTTGCACTTTACTGTGGAATAACACACAATTTGTACATTAAATGGTCATTTAGATTTTTTCGGATGAAAACTAATTATTTCGATTTACCAATTAATTGTTAAAATAGTTGGTAGATTAATCAATAAAAAAGTGTTGTTAGTGGCAGTCGTAATATGTGCCTTTTAGTAAACACTGATGCCTTTTCCTCCTCCAGCATTGTAATGTAATTTGATACAGCAACTGGCTTCCTTCATCCAGTTATGGCATTAGGATAAAATCTAGGTGTCAGAAATATATTTCTACTTTGTAAGAAATTACAGTGTCAGTTTTCTTTTCTCTAAGTATGAGTTAAAATCAAGTCATTACAAAAACCAAACAGATGCAAATTAGGTCACCGCCCCAAACTGGTTGGATTGTTTTCAATCCAAGCAGGTTGATCAAATTATGACTGTTGACGGTATCACCTGTGCCCTTGTGTGTATTTAAGAATTTTACAAGAATTTCTTTCTCTGTAACATGTTCAACCTTCCTTACTGCATATAAACAGTGTATCTTAAGACCTCTACATGACCCTGCCAGTAATTTCATTTTTTGAGACATCACCTGCGTCCTCTACATAAACATTTACATGACTCCCTCATCCCTGTGTGTCATTCTGTGCTCTGGAGACCTTGGACACATTGTTTTTTTCCCCACCATATCTGCTACACAAGAAGGCCACTCCAGTGAGAATCAAGATGCTTGGTGCAGATCCGCCCTCCCTGCACTCAACACGACACACACACTCATCTTTTCAGCCACTAAACTGAGCAGATGGTTCACTGATGGGCAACGTACAGGACTCCCGGGAGGCTGGCGATGTTGTAGTGTTTTCACTATGCAACTGTGGCGTGCCTCCTCTGCAGGCGTGCGTTTCATTCGGCACGTACACACCAGAAATTCATCGCGGGAAAAGGTCGCAAATCGTTGCAAATCTCCTCTGTAAGCCTTATTTAAAATGCACTACGATCGACAATATGTTTTAAGCATTGACATTTGGAGCAGTTTGAATGTAATGAAACCCACCACGAAGAAGGACGGGTTCATTTACGTACCCTGAGGGCTGCGTTACCCACAGAGACAATCAGCGAAACTATGCTCACGTGAACGCGCATGTAATCAAACACACGGAGCGAAATGCTAACGGTAGGCTAACTGAAGGCAGAGCTGTGTGACTGATGCGTTACAATGAGTACATGACAGTTGTTACTCCCCGCAACAAAACCGACTATAAGTAGTCTGATTGCTACATTCTGCGATAGATACTTAATACCTAAATATCCAGAGGACTTTTAACGACATCAACACTGCGGTCTTCCACAGACACAGCCTTCAGTTAGCATGTGCTAGTAGCTTGGATGAAGTAGCCATGTCTGCGGTTCAGCTGAGTTTTGTTTGCAGCTTCTGCTTCACCGGCTGGCTACACATGCTTGTATTCTGTAAGTCTTACTTACGAAAATGCTACCAGTAATTACTTGACCCATTCACACATAGTTTGGCTTTAAAGGCAGACCTTTCCTCGGATTATCCAGCAGCCAGGACGGAGCGTTATCATCGATGCTAGCTGGCTAGCTTGTTTGCTAAATATGTGAGGCAAAAAAAAACTCACCCTACAAAACTCTTGGCAGTACTCCGAGGAGGACTGGGTCGGGGCGTCGTCGCTTTCTCTAACCACGACTTCTTGCAGTCCTTGTAACCGTTGCCGGAGTTCCTCAATCGTTTCACTGATACCGTTCGCAGGACTACGGTCCTGCTCGGCCTCCTCGTCCGCCATCTTCACACCCAACTACAGCGCGTACCACCACTACGTAACTACGTCAGCGCGTTCTTCTTTTTTCTTCTGCAGGTTTATTGGCGGTTGTCAAACAATGAATAAGCGTCTTACTGCCACCAATTGGTAGGCGATGCAGATAAAAGTATCTAGTATTTACAATGTTCGTATATAAAAAAAACCTCATATCCTGCAAGTTTATTTGGTTAGTCTCAGATATTAAAGTATTATGCAGCTGAAACACTTAAATCTAAATAATAAAATCAATGTCACTTAAAAACAACTTTTCTCAATGCTTTGTGCAATATCCATTTCATTATCATGTTTAATATTTTATTTTCATGTGCAATATTTTTATTTCATGTTTAATATTTGTTCATGTACAACATGCCAATGTAATGTGAAATATTTCATTTTTTTTAGATGAAATATATTAATTTCAAACATAATATTTCAACTAAATTTGCAAAATTTCTTTATCATGTGATATTCCTTTACTACCACAGACTCATTGTCAGTAATAGATTTTTGTATTCTAGTCCTATTTTAGCTCACTCACTTTTATTTTCAGCAATGTATCATTCTGTTAAGGCACTGCATTTTCTCATGTCCTATAAGTTTATTTTCTGAGCAATATCTGGCACAAGAATTCAAAATTAATAACATTTTGTCTTATCATAAAGTATTTAAAGGCTTTAATTGACACATGCTGCAATATACAGGTTATCAATGCAGCTTGGTTGAAATTAATCTGTTTACAGAATGGACTTGCACGCAAATTCAGTATACAAAGAATAGTGCAAAAAGAGTATGTACAGAAAAAAACACTGTAAAAAAGGTCAAGATGCACAAATCTATACAGTGAGAGTATCTGCATTACAATATTGTCTTGGCCAGTGCTATTGTTGTAAGTGCAGTGCGAGTATCTAGTCTGTCGTAATCACTGTTACAGTAGCTGTAGTCTTAACCATAACAAAAAGCTAGAACTGTAGTCATAGCTAGTGACTGTAACTACAGCTCGCCTCTTTAATTTATATGAAAGGTGCTTAATTTGAACCCTATTTACTCTGTTCTAGCCACTACTCTACATTGTAAAAAATCTTTTTAAAAAAACAATAGAAAATGTTCCTATTTGTTTCCCCAAAAATACACATGATCCCATGTGAAATTAAGGCTTGAAAATGTATGTGAATCATGGAAAATGACAGTATTTTTACAAGATGCATATTTTCCATTATTTACCATTATTATTTTGGTACCCCAGCTGTCAGAGTATTCCCTTTTTTTCTTTGTTTTTTTTTTACAGTTTGTTTTTTTTCAGTATATGAAGCTGTTGTTAGTCTATATATTTCCAAGGACACAAACAACATAAATTACAGCAGCTTTAAAAATCTTTTGAGCACTGGGGGAAAAAAACAGACAGTCATTGTTAACTGTTTATAGAGCAAAAATGACTTGAATGAATGCAAGCAATGTAGTAAATGAAGAGTTGTCATAAAGATTTATTTTATTGAGAAAAAGAGAGAATGCTGTACATTGATGGGTGAAATGTATTTTTTTTCTCTAAAAGAACAACATCCCACAACATGTTGCTTGTGGACAGAATGCAAATGAATCAAAGATGTTTACATTCCTTTGGTGTTTTTTTTTTACCTCAGACCTATGCATGCTCTTTTCTCTTGAGTAGCTTTTTAAAAGCCAGCTTAAAATCATCATTAAAGCTGGTGTACAGCAGGGGGTTGATGAGAGAATTGATGTAACCCAGCCAAGTCAGGAAGTCCGAGATGAGCTGCGAAGGCTTTAAAACCCGCAAACCCACCAGGAGCTCCTTTATAAAGAAAGGCAGCCAGCAGATAATGAAGGCCCCCAGGATGAGGCCAAGGATTCGCGCCGCTTTCCTCTCACGTGACGTACATATCTGGTTCTTCTCATCCTGCCCGTCCATGTCAGTCTCAAATGACGGGATACGGATTGTAGTGTTGAGTTTGTCGGTGGCCAGCGTGGGATCTGAGTTGGACAAGTCTGACACACAGAATGTGTGGGACACTCGACAATGGTCTACAGAGTTCTGACTTCCTATGCTGCGGCTGCTGAGGTGGCGAGAAGAGCCGCGCTTTTGGTAAAGTGTCTTGGCGGCGTTGTAAATCCTGTAGTATAGGATAAGAATGATGATCATTGGGATGTAAAATGCTCCGAAAGTAGAGTATATAGTGTATCCCAGGTGGTCATGTTCTATGATGCACTGCTGGAGGCTACTGCTGCTGCTGGACCTCTGCCTCCAGAATAAGGGTGGTATGGAGATGAAAACTGAGATGACCCAGACTGTCCCCACCATGACAGCGGCTCGGCGGGCTGACCTCTTGCGAGCGTACTCAATAGCTTTGGTGATGGCCCAGTACCGGTCCAGGGCTATGACACACAGGTGCAGGATGGAGCAGGTGCAGCAGGTCATGTCCACGCTCAGCCACACCTCGCACACCACCTGACCCAGCGACCACGTCTCCATGGTGATGTAGATGATGCTGATGGGCATGACGAGGAGAGCCACCAGGAAGTCGGTGACGGCCAGAGAGCAGATGAGGTAGTTGGCAGGCAGGTGGAGCTTCTTGGTCGTGCAGATGGCGATGATGACCGCGCCGTTGACAAGCGCAGTGAGGAGGGTGAGGAGGCCGAGGACGACCACCACCAATGCCATCCCGTCTGTGACTTGGACCGGCAGCGCGGTGCTCGCGGGTGGAATGGTGCAGTTTGTAATGTTGGGTCCTGCAGTGCTCGCCCCCGGGTAGCTCTCCATGTCTGTCTCTGACCCCTCCCTCCCTGGAAAACCCTCCCAGGGAGACGCTTCTCACTCAAAGGTCAAAGGTCAGTCTGAAACAACAAAACAGGCAAGTGGTGCATTAGAGACAAACACAGTGCACTTTTCACAGTCTTGTGCTTTCCTACCTTCCACACAATACATGCTGGGATACTCACTTAACAGGAAAATATTTGTTTTTGTGTTAGAAGAAGGCAATATTGGCCTCTGTGCCGACTTGTAATCACTTTGGTCCACAACATCTTAATATACATAGTCAGATTGTAGTGACATTTACAGTCTGTCTTTATGCTCCAAGATGCTAAATTCCAGTGTTCTGGTAATCCTTTCTATGGCACCACAACGAAAAACATAGAGGTAAAAATGTTGAGAGGTATGAGATAGAGATACACTTTCTCCTACAATGTAAAATATTCAATTAAGTGAGGCATATTTACTTTAACAACTGTAATTTCAAATTTCAATGAGCAAAATGAGCTCTTAAAATGATAAATACTTGTAGAGGAAGAATTCCACAATCCTAAGGGACAGTGAATAACCTCGACACATATAGCACACACAATATATATGAATTTTAATGTTGTATTAATGTTCAAATTGTTCTTATGGCATACTGCACACATATTTGGAAAAACATATTTTGATGCAACACTGGCAACATCTTTTCTAGAAACTTTCATGCCAACAAAGCCCCTTGAATTGAATAAAAGAGAGAAAATAAGAGTGAAACACAGAGAAGTGACAGAATGTGACAGACTTAATATGTATGCAAAACATTTAATTCTGAAACAGCAGCTTCCCTCTTGTGAGCGGAATAAATGAGTTTAATTTAGTTTAGTTTGTTTGGCAGAGTGAGAGAAAGGACCTTGGGTCACATGTAGTCAAACAACTTTGGCTTATTTCCACTGAGGTAGGTTGTGTATGTTGAGAAGCCAACTTTTTACTTAAAAAGCACAACATCCCACTTTATGTTGCCAATAGATAGTGAAAGGTGAGGCGTATACAGTCCCTTCTAAGTGTTTAACCTCGTACTTATGCATGGTGAGTAGCTTCCTAGAGGCTGTGCAAGCATCCCATTTGAAGGGGAAATTCAGACTTTCTTTAGTGACTGCATTATAAATTTGACTGAAGCAGCTGTTTGGAAGTTTTTCCTGCAGAAATCAGGTGCCGTAATTGGCAGCTGGAGGGCGCCCTCATACAGTTTGACAACTGACGGTTTAAAATTAAATATATTATCAAACAGTGTAATTAATTTTAGTCTGCGACAGTCTCATACAAATGGTTCACTGACAACATTTGCATTATCGTTGATTCTGCAATGCATGAAAATGAAAATAAGTTTGATCAACATGGAAGCTCATGTGGAAGTCAGGTGTTTTATAAGAGATGTGTCAGTTTTCTGGATGTCAAGGCACACAAATTAGTTAATGAGAGGTCAAGGTTGTGGAGCTTTTCTGACTGGGTTTTAGGGTGTTTTTCTAAGCGGAAATTCCAAAAGAACAGCATAGTAATTAACTGTTAAAAACTTGAAGACACAGAAAGAGAGATTTGCTGAGCCTCACCATTGCTAAGGCCCCAAAAGAAGTTGAACTGTCATTATGTTTCAAGGTCGTCAATATGTCTGTTTTTAATGAAGAAGACGCCAGTAGTATTTTGGTCATGTTAACATCAGTGATCATCATAAAGCATGACTTACAGCCACTGTTGCATTGTGTTTTCACCTGAGTGAAAGACATGACCTCGTCTACATCGGTCCCATTATTCTTCAAAGTACAAACATGTCAGTTCTTGTTCTCTGATTAGGTGACAGATTTGATTAATGAGAAATATTACCTGGGTCATTTAAGTCCTTTGGTCTCCTGCAAAGTCAGTGGAGTCATTAGAGAACTAACTGCTACTTTCTGATATAAATACAAGTCTGTGGGCTGTACCAGATACCCATGACCATGGCAGTACAGGGTAACGTTACATCATAAAAATGTTTTGTTAGAAATTAATATTCATTGATGATGGACCAGTAGATGATGGATGAATAGACCTGTATGGATACCTATTCATCCATTCATTATATAAAGATGGAAAGACACACATACCCATCTATCTATCATTTGTGATGGACTGAATGAGATAGATAGTATCCATATCTATCATTTATGTATCAATCTGTCCATCCATTATAGACTAATGGTTAGATGAAGAGTGGATAGCTGTGTGGATATCTATCAGTCATAGATGGATTCACAAACACTTCTCCACCAACAGTATATACACTGTAAAACATGAACATTTTAAAACAGTTTTCAACTTTATTCTCTTTAATAGGCTAAAAAAAAATTCAGAGTTTTTTTTTTTTTTTTTTTTTAACTACAGACAATAACTTTTAAATTCATAGAATGAAACAAATAATTTATGCATTAACCATACATAACAGGCCAAAACTGAAAAAATTAATCTTACCATAATTATTTCTATTTGCTAAATGCCAGAATAGCGAGAGAGGGGACTTTTTTTTAATTACTTTCTTCAAAGTCAGACATTTAAATACGGTACACTAAGATTACTATGCCTGCAAACTATTTGGGATAGCCCAGATGGTGATGTCATGTCTTTGGAAGCTTTCGATAAGCTAATTGGCAAAAGTGTAGTTATAGGAGGCACACCCGTAGATGTATTTTAAGGGACACCTCAAACACACTGCTTCCTTTTGTGACAACATGGGAAAATCTAAAGAAATCAGCCATGGCATCAGGAAGAGATTTGTGGACCTCCATAAGTCTGGTTCATCCTTGGATACAATTTCCAGATGCCTGAATGTTCCATGTTCATCTGTTCAAACAATTATACGCAAGTATAAAAGCCATGGGAATGTCCAGCCATCAAACTGCTCAGGACGGAGACGGGTTCTGTGTCCCAGAGATGAACGTGTTTTGGTGTGAAATGAGTGTATCAACCCCAGAACAAAAGTAAAAGACCTTGTGAAGATGCTGCTGTAGCTAGTATGAGAGTGTCATTATCCACAGTTAAATGAGTCCAGTTCTGTCATGGGCTGAAAGGCTACTCAGAGAGGAAGAAGCCATGACTCCAAAAGCAACATTAAAAAGCCAGATTACAGTTTGCAAATGCACACAGGGACAAAGACCTTCACTTTTGGAGACATGTCCTGTGGTCTGATGAAACTAAAATTTAACTGTTTGGCCGTAATGACCGTCGTTACATTTGGAGGAAAATGGGAGAAGCTTGCAAGCCTGAGAACACCATCCCAACTGTGAAGTACAGGGGTGGCAGCATCATGTTGTGGGGGTGTTTTGCTGCAGGAGGGACTGGTGCACTTCACAAAATAGATGGCATCATGAGGAAAGAGCATTCGGTGGAAATATTGAAGCAACATCTCAAGACATCAGGCAGGAAATTAAAGCTTGGGTGCAAATGGGTCTTCCAAATGGACAATGGCCCTTTAAGCATGCTGCCAAATTAGTTACAAAGAGGCGTAAGGACAACAAAGTCAATGTTTTGGAGTGGCCATCACAAAGCCCTGATCTCAGTCTTGTAGAAAATTTGTGGGCAGAGCTGAAAAGGCATGTGGAGCAAGGTGGCCAACAAACCTGACTCAGTTAAACCAGTTCTGTCTGGTGGAATGGGCCAAAATTCCATGAAATTATTGTGAGAAGCTTGTAGAAGGAAACCCAAATTTTTATCCCCAAGGTCGCGACTCATCCAGTTTAAAGGCAATGCTACCAAATACTAAAGAAATGTATGTAAACTTCTGACTTTGAAGAAAGCAATAAAAATTCTCTAAATAATGCTCTCTTTCATTATTCTGGCATTTAGCAAATAGAAATAATTTTGGTAATCCTAACTGATCTAAAACAGGAAACGATTAGTCTGCTCTAATGTCAGACAGTGAGAAAAAAAGGTTATGTGTCTTTTTATACAGTGTATGTAAACTTCTACAATTATTTTACAGATGTTACCTGTTCTTTTAACTATTTCATATTTAATTTTTTTGCAGATACACAAACACCATTCCATCATTTTTAACTGATTTTTTTTCTTCACCTTTCTTTTTTCTTTTTTTTTTTTAACGGTTGTTTTGATTTGTTTTTATAGTGTAGCTCGAATTGTATAGAATTTGATGTATTCAAGTTGGAACATATCACTTCCACCACTTTCTGTGGAATTGTGCAAGAATAGTAGGCCCTTCAAAGAAACTTAGAGAGTTTATTTGTAGCAGAGCTGTACGTGTAGCAACAAGACTAAGCTTCCTAAAATATATATTTTTTTAATCATTTAGCCAAAACCCAAATACGTCAGGTTGTAGCAACTTGTTTGACAGCAGAAGAGGTTCGGTTTTTAACAAAAACTAGCACATATACCAGTAAAAAATGCTGCTGAAAGACATAAACTAGAGTGTTAGTTTGTCTTTTCTCTGAAATAAAAAAGGCCTTGACAGTCTAGGGAACCCTTTTTTGTTGTCACTTGTAGCTTCTGTAAAAGAAACACCTAATTTCTTTGTGAGACCCAAGCAGCAGGTTCTCAGACATGTTTGTACTATAACTTACTTTTTTTACTCTCCAAAACATATGGATTCAACGGATTTCTGAGCGGCTATTCCATGTTCTAGCCTTTCTCACACCTTTCCAAATAAAACACCTTGTGTTCCTGTTGAAACTCCCCGAGGGACCGTGACGGAGGCTGGGTGGACCGGAGAAGCTAACTGAGTTGTGACTGTCATCGATAACAAAAGCTCAAACGGAGCTGTCACAATGGACATGGTTGACTGCTTCTCCTGTACAACCTCTCAACAGACATCAGCTTAACCAATAATCACAGACAGGTGGGCCAGAGCGGAGGCATGCTGTGAATACAGCCAGGTCCTCAGGGAAAAACAC